AAAAAATAATCTAAATTATCTTATTATATAAATGAATAATCACAAGTTATAATATCTAACCTTCACGTTCTTTTGGCCATTGTATAACTGGCGCCCATTCTATACAATGTTCGGGCAACCTTGGTGTATTTGCAATGGTGCAAATTGGAAATACTGTTTGTTTATTTAACATATCTAACGAACATTCATAACAGGATGTTACCGTCGGAATGATCACACGTGCTTGACCCTTAAAACCTACAGGAATTTAAATAGAGATCAACAATTTTTAATGTTAAGATTCTTTAGATAATTATATTTAAATATTTTTTATTTCATCCTTACCCTCGGTCCCACCGTCGATCAAAACACGGATTTTTTCGGGATCATCCTGTGCAATATTCACCAACGTAGCATTAATCCATCTTCGCGCTTCCACTGAATCTAGTCCACAAATGATCAAATGGAAGCCAAGATAATAATCATCATCTTTATCCTGGATTTTTCCGTGATAACTGTTGAAAGATTATTATTTAAAGAAGAAAAGATCGATTCTATTTAAAATAACATTTATACGTACTAAGAAACTTTTACACCTGCAACTCGCTTCATTATAAATTCTGCGGCAACTTTAGCTTTAGGACTTCCAACATCAGCCGGCCTATTTCGAAATCAATAAAAATCGATAAAAACAATCAAGATCATATAATATTTGTTTGAATAACTCTTAATATACCTGAACAAGAATTGTCTGTTCAAATTCGAAACATCGATGGTATCCATGTCAATAACTTCGATATCCTTAAAACCAGACAATGCCAAATTTTTCAAGATCTCACATCCAAGACCGCCAGCACCGATTACAAGAACTCTGCATTGATTAAGTAAAATATCCTACAAGTTCATTATGGAAAGCTTTCTTTTAATAATGACTTATTCTAAAGATCAAAGGGTAGCGATTGATAAGTTATCTATACCTCACCGTGACCAGGACTGAAACTCTTGTCACAAAAAGGACCTCTCCTATCCAATATTTTATTAATATGAGTCCAACGACCAGGCCAGACTTTTTTTGAAGAGTCAGGAGAATCCTCTGGTGTCGGAACGTCGGTTTGCATTTGAGTATCTGCCATTATACACTTTCTAAAATTACGTTCGGAGAGACAAGATGATAAAATAGCCTTTACGATACCTAAAGTGACACGAATATTACCATTCATTTCTGTCACGTGATCGATCTTGACGAGAGCCTTAATTTTCCAATAAGTTACCGATGTCGACCGACATCAAAAACTTATCGACTCGGCCACCGACAATTTTCAACTATCCCAGAACTTATGAAGACAACTGTAATCGTAATAGAGAGAGGCTTACCAGGCTTTACTATTGTATTGATCGGTTTGTACTGTATTATAACCTATATGAGTGACAGAAAGGAATTAATCAATATTAACAAGTTTTGGTCATTAGATGAAATTGAAAGAAAAATGATATTAAAATGATTTTGTGAATTGAAGAACATAGCATCAAGATAGTGAAAATTTGGTTTTTATTGTGGTTCAAAACCTCCGTATTTATAAATCCGGATTTAAAAAACTACAGCTTCAAGCTATGAAAATTCTATTTTTATTTTTATAAATTAATGGTTATATTTATAAAAATTCTATTTATTTAATAGTAGATAATTATGAAGTTGAATTTAATTTATCATATAAGCATGAATTAATAATGATAACAAGGATTGTTGAAAGCTCTAAAATGAATTAATTACGGTGGAATCTTTTCCCCACAAGCCTGAATCCGATTTAAAATGATAATTTACAGAAATCCAAACTAGTCTATCGATCTAACGCTCATAGTCATGGAATCAAGATAAGTACGATTATAGCGCGAATTTGAATGTTAATTACGCGTGTTAAATTTAAAAGGCTGTCTCTATATTCTAATCAAGCTGGAGAACCATGAATCTTGGTATTACGAAATCAAGTACGTACGTGAGATATAACGATAACAGATAATGTTTTTTTTAAATGATAAATTTACAAGTCTAAGATAAATCTTGATGATCATGCACATTTGATTGAAAATCAAACTATCGGTCTAACGTCACTTGATCGATCGATCGATCGAACGCCACGAACGCAAACCTGAAATAATAGATTCCACAAT